CGGCGCCTGGGAGGGATGCGGTGGCTCTCGGGCTGCTGCTCCGCCCCGCCCCGCCTGTTGTGTCCCCGGCCGCGTCCGCACCGGGCGTGTGGCATATACGGGAGAGAAAATAAATGGCAGAGCAGCGCTGCTCGTATGGCGTGGCCGTCGCCTCCCTTACGTCTTCATTTTTTTTTGTTTTACCTGGAAGTTGCCTCCCTTTTGTACCCACCCCCACCCCCCCCATAATATATGGATGAGTTGTATCTTTTTCTTGAAATTGTGGTATTCCTTGCTGTATTATTTTCTTTAGATCTCTTACTGCTTCCCTCCTCCTCGGTCCCAGAACTGTAGCTCTTGGAGGAATTTCCAGAAGTTGTCTGATTCCCCTGCCTTACCAAGGCAGGATCGACACTGCTGCTGACAGACATTTGTCTAACCTGTCTTTAACCCTCTCCAACGTTCACAGTTTCACAGCCTTTCTAGGCAGTGCATTCCTTTTCCCTCTTCTTTTCCATCCATGTCCTTTGACTTTTTCTTGGCTTCCTCCAGCTTCCTGAGGGAGGATTGGAGATCTTCTCTTTGGTTCCCATTTCTCATCAGTTCTGCACTTTGTCTCTTGATAATATTTGGAGACATAAATTTAAAGCCTTTAGGCAAGCCACCAAAGTTTATTCTGTATCTAAAATCTTGTTGTGAAGAAAGGATGTAAGCCGTGAATGTTGCTTTTCTGTCCAGCCAGAGGCAGGTAAATAATGTCTTGTTTGATGTTTATGCCTGTAAGTCCTAGACTTGGTGATTACATAAGAAGCAAAATATGGGTAACAAAGCAGATTTATTGCTTGCTTTAAGCAAACAAATCACTCTTTGTCATGTGCATCACGACGTACCTAATTTGAGGACCAGGTTTTCATCGTGATTAATTTTTGACCTACTGAGGTTGATTTGGCTTCACATACTTCTGTCATTTTGTGAATTTCTTAGCTGGTTGTTTCGCAGGAGGCCGTAGCTGGGAAATAGCCTTAGATTGGCGATTTCATTCTGATGATCAGTGCTACCAGCGTGTCACTCCCAAAGCAGTGGTTATTTTTTTTTCCACTGCTGCTTGAAAGTAATTTTTCTTTTCTTTTGTAGTTGGGAAGACCTCTCTGATCACCAGGTTTATGTATGACAGTTTTGACAATACTTACCAGGTATGTGGTAGTGTTTTTTTTGTTTGTTTGTTTGTCTTCTCTAATATATACGGGTAAATCTATTCCCCGCTATGAAAATGTATGCCTGTGAGAACTGTTAGGGGCGAGCATGTTTCTCCATGAGATACCAGTTCAATATCATATGTAAGGTTGTATTGTGCCTTGAAATGGAGTTGAGACTTCACGATTAAGCCCAAGCATCTAGTATGATGTCAGGAAATACAGTGTACAAAAAAGAAGCAAGGTTTAGATCCTGTCTGGATATGTGAGAAGCCTCGAGGAAAACAGGGAGAAACATGGGTTTATGGGGTTGGCTGACAGAGAAGAGGATGGTCGGGGTGCCTGATGATGGGTATGGAAGTCTCGGGAAACAGAGAGAAAGAATAAGGTACGAACGTGCTTATGATGGTTCTTGGTCTCTAGCGTCTGAGTCCAGAGTGTCTAGATAGATCTGCAAGAAGCCAGCATGGTATATTCTCTCTCTCAATGTTTTTTTATTAGTTTTTTTATTTTATTTTATTTTTTAACTAAAAGGCTATAGATAGAAAAAGCTGGGGAAA